CAAAACGTAAACGCAAACTGAAATATGATGATCGTACGATAAAACTGATTTACGTCTAAACGCCGATTCGAAAAGTGCAAAGCTTGAAACCCAATCGTATATGCGCAGAAAGCAGTAAGCTTTTGAGGAGGTTTGCAGTAAAGATAATATGCTCAAAGTAAATGCAAACCGAGATTTAGAGTGGTTCGGTCAATCTTGACCTACATCCACTTTTGGCTTCCTCCACCGACGAGGTCACCAACGTCCACTAGAGGCCTTCCTTCAATAGGCGAAGGCCAACCACCCTTTTACAGTTTCACTCCTTTTGACGGGCTTAGGAGACAACCCTTACAGAATTTTCTCTCCTCTCTTTAAAGATCAGAACTTGGAAGAAAAGAGGGAGAAGAACTTTTGGCTTTTACAACAATTTTGAGCTCTAAAAATCATAGAATAAGATCAGGATTTCGGTGTATTTGAGTGCCCTTTCAGTGCTGAAATGGTGGGATACTTATAGGCCCCAACCCAGTTTGAATTCCGAGCTCAAAACTGTCAATTCTCGGAATTTCGGGATCTGGCGGTTGCACCGCCTGGCAGAGCTCGAAGACTGAGCCTCTGGGCGGTGCCACCTCCTATCAGGGGTGGTTGCACCTCCTGCCAGAACTCGAAGACCGAGCTCAAGCGGTGCCACCGCCTAACTGAGGCGATTGCACCTCCTGCCAAAGCTCGAAGACCGAGCTCAGGCGGTGCCACCTCCTGTCAAGGGCGTTTGCACCGCCCAGTCTCGCTTGGAGACTGAGCCCAGGCTGTGCCACCGCCTGGCTGGGGCGGTTCAACCGCCTAGCAGAAATCAGGGTCCGAATCGGTTGATCCATTCGGCCCAATTTGGGTTTATCAGGGGCCCAATTGCCCCAAGATTAAGTTAATGGGATCACCTCCCATTTCCAGCTTAATCATTGTGCTAACTATGATATTTCCTAAGACATTTACTGTAACTTGCTCCGGTGCGTTAATCGCTTCTTCCGGCGAGCTTCCGGCGAACTTTCGTCGATCATCCGATGAACCCTCGGTGATGCTCCTGCGGACTTCCGGCAAACTCCTGGACTTGCGACGATTCACTTGACGAGTTCCGACGAGCTTCTTTGGCAAGGTCATGGACTTCTCGGATTTGTTCCCGTAGAACCTTCGACGACTGTCCGAACTTCCGTCGAACTCTCGAACTCCCAACGTGATCATTGTCTTGACTCTGGCGCAACTCCTGCTGCATATCTTACTTTCATCGTAGTTAATCCTGCACACTTATCTCAATATATAGATTAGATAACCAATGACAATTGACTTCATCATCAAAATCCGAGATTCAACAATTAGGACATTATATACCCATTACGGATAGATCAATTTGTAACATCATAGGAATTCCAGTAAAAGAAAGAGAGTGTTATTTTAGAGGACAATGGGATAATGAAACAGTTGGGACTACTTACTTTGATGCCTTAGGAACAATTTTTGGCAATCCTAACTTAACGATTCTTCCAAAAAGCTACGAACATTTACTACCTTTAAGCACAAAAATAATTCATCACATCCTGATAAGTATCATTCTCCCAAAGCAATATCATCATGATGAAGTAAGCCAAATGAAACTAGGTACCATGTGTTGGAGTATGAAGGGACATAACAATTATTTTGGTTACCTAATCCAATAAAACATGATTAAACTATCAAAAAAGGGCATGATACTTCCATATGGTGGCTTAATCACAAGACTACTTCATGCGTATGATATTACCATTCCACCCGATAAAGAAGTTATAAAACTAGACAAATTTAACATCATAAATAGAAATCTACTTCGACGGATGAGATGTACATTCAGAAATGGTATATGGACTAGACTGCATAGAAGGACTGATCCCCTCCAACTTGAACCAGAACCTAAAACACCAATTTTTAGGGTTAATCTATCTCCTCCAACTGGTTCCTTTGAGGAATCACCTCCAGTAGAGCAAGCACCTCCCTCATCTATCGACGACATAGGGACTCAGATGGATCGATTTGAACAACATCAAGATCGACTTGAACAATGCCAAGATCAAATTTTAATTGAACTGCAGTAGATTCATCAACAACTCAATACCCTGTTTAGACATTTTGACTAGCCACTACCTGAATAATTAATTATGGCCTTTTGCTGATGACAAAGGGGGAGAAATGGATGACATCTCCTTTTATTCTACTTACTTTAATGTTCTAATCCTATGTTGTTTACCTTGATGTTGTAAACTTAAAATGCTACTTTGATTATTATAATTCTGTACTTTGATTTCCATGTTATCTCTTCAAATAATGAGTATGATATCATGCTTACCTTGATTCTGAAAATTTCTGTCAATATCATGCTTACTTTGATGCTAAAAATATATGTGATTTTGACTCGAAAATGGATGTCATGACATCATTTTTATCGTCGAATATGTGATATCATCTTTAGATTTGGTAAATCATGATGAGCATGATGATAATAAGTCTAAATTATCAATTTAATGCTTGAATTCAAAGGCGTTGAATTCAAGAGTATCTTTTCTTAATTATGGCATATAGATAGGGGGAGTTAGGATTAACTTCATCACCAATTGGTTATCATCATCAAAAAGGGAGAGATTATTGACTCTAGGATTTTGATAATGAAATCAATTGGTAAATTATTTGATCTAATCTATGTGTTGAGATAAGTGTGTAGGATTAACTACGATAGCAATAAAGCGTAAAGCAGATGATGGGCCAAAGTCAAAGACTCGGACGATATACCGGGAGCTCGCCGAGAGTTCATTGTGAGATCACCGAAAGCACGTTGGAAGACTTACCGAAAGCTCGTCGGAAGATCACCGAAAGCACGCCGGACGACTAACCGAGAGTTGGTCGGGAGTTCGCCGGAAGCTCACTGGAAGACTCGCCGAAAAGTTCGCCGGAAGATCGCCGAGTGAAAAATCGATGTACCGAACCATGCTTGCCTTAATCATAGTTAGAACGATAATTAGAGTTGATTTGGGAGATAATCTCATCAACTTTATTAGAGGCCAACTGGGCGCAAAGTTGGGCTGGTTTGGGCCAGAGTCAAGGCCCAACCAGGATGCTGAATTCCTAGCTGGCGGTGGCACCGCTTGGAAAGCAGCACCCCAGGTGGTCTGGGTGGTGGTACCGTCGATAGTTATTGCTGCAGCGGTGGTACCGCCCTTGTCAGGCGGTGGTACCGCCAGAGCTCGGTCTCCGAGCTCTGTTAGGCGGTGGTACCTCCCAGACTAAGCGGTAATACCACTCACTATCAGGTGTCAGGCGGTGGTACCGCCCAGTAATAGCCGTGGTACCGCTAGTACCCCGGAAATCCGGGATGAGATACTTTTTGGCTCCATTTTTGAAAGTCATTGGGGCTTATAAATACCCCACCCTTTTCAGCATGAAAAGGTACCGAAGTGTGATTATAATCTTGAGTTATTGGGGCATAAAAGTGTTGTAAACAAGTGTTAGAGTCCTCCTCCTCCCTTTCTAAATTTTAAGATCATTCAATAGAGGTGTGAGACTTGTAAGGGTTCTCTCCTAAATCCGGGAAAATGAGAAAGTACTGTAAAGAGGTGTTCGGTCTTCATCTATCGAAGGAAGGCTTTTAGTGGACGCCGGAGACCTCGTCGGAGGGGGAATCCGAAAGTGGATGTAGGTCACCTTGACCAAACCACTCTAAATTCTGGTTTGCTTTTTATTTGTGCAATTTACTTTACTACAAACCTCCTTAATCTTCTCTTGCACTTTTACGAAAACTTTCAAGTTTAACTTCTCTCCGAAACAGATTGAATCGAAACCATTTTCATCGGAATCAGTTTTTTAAACGAAACGAACAATTTTCTGAAATCGTGAAAGTTTTCCATTGCTCTAATTCACCCCCCCCCCCCCCCCCCCCTCTTAGGGTCGCTCTTAATCCTAACAGGCATGAGTCGGCCCTACGCACAACCCTGATGTAAACCGCGTAGCTTTTCTATCTCTTTCGTGTTTTCCCTTTTTCTTTTAATAAAAGTTAAATTGAAATACTGTAATCAAGAAATTAGATTCATAAATCTAAAATTCTTATACTTAGATTGCATGTCAAATTACATAATTTAGTGACATGATTTAATTATAAGAACAAGCCAAATCCCATATGATTGATTATTGACATTCTTTCCTGTTTTAATTCTTTGTTATTATAAATCCGGAATTAACAGAAATTTTTTTTAAAATAATTGAATCATGGTTCCATATCATTTTTTCATGAATCTCTTAATGTCTTCCATAAAAATCTAAACATGAAGCAACATGTATAAAAAAAATTCTAAAACAAATAATATTACATTATTTAAAGGAATATAAATTGTTTAAACACAACAAATAATGAGGAAACCTATCTCTTGGCCATAGCTCCCCCTCCTCCAAGCACCCATAAAAACTAAGCCAATTTGTGTGGAGAGGGCGAGGGCGAGGGCTTAGATAGCTGTTCAGATGAGCTAGTTCTAGTGTTTAAAAATGTTAAAGACTCTTAGGCATATTATCTTTAGGGATAAAATATATTTTATAAATTCAAATATTAATATAAAATGCATAAAATCCTAGTAAAAAGAAATATCGGGTTTTAAAAATATACTGTAATTAGATTCTGTATGTCTATCGGGGAAATTTGTTCTATGTGTTTATGTTTTATCTTTTAGTTAATAGTATTTTGATTTTCTTATTTAAAATAATTTACTCTATGTTAAAAATTAATAAATCTAAATCAAATTAGTCAATATTAACATATATCAATTTGAATATCGATTCAATCCAAATACTTAAGCTTATTAGATTGTGTCAAACCCTATATATATATATATATATATATATATATATTGAACAATAGCAAATAACAAATCAAAATTGTTTGCTCGAAATAGGCATTTTGCCACTTGGTCTCTAGTTAATAACTCTTTAACTCAGTACCAAAATAGAAGTTACAAGAATTAGAAAGAAAAGCATAACACATTGACCAGTTATATAAATTTTCACCTGTAACTTTTACAGATTGCGGTACAAGGCACAATACATTAGCACCGGGGAAGATACAGAAACACTCTTCACCTGATGGTTTCTAAAGAACTAAACGCTATTTGATTTCTAACAGAAAATTCTACTGTACGATTTAATCAGTGTGTATGAGAGGGTTACAATCTTTCGAATGTTCAAAATACTACTAGGTCACGACATCTACGCCATCTTTTGCTTATGAATCCTCCACCATCGCTTCCTACCGGCATACTTCAGCACCTCATCAATTAGCACCACAGGGACAGACACCGATACAACCAGAAGCCATTCATTCAGGTTCAACGGAACGATTCCAAAAATATTTGCCAGAAAAGGGACATAAACAATGATAAAATGGAGCCCAAATGAAACCAGCATTGCAAGGATTAGCCAAGGGTTCCTCCATGGGGGCACATGAAGTAAGCTATTGTCTTCTGATAAAGCATTGAGAGAATTGAACATCTCAGTTGCTACTAAAACAGATAAAGATAAGGTCATTGCCTTGACTTTCCCAACTGTGAAATAGTCACAGGGATCTGTGAAAGAAATCACTCGGTCACCAGCTACAAATGAATTAGGATAGAAATCAGGCCATGCAGCGCATTCTCTCCATGAACGGAGTTCAGCTAGAGAGATAAACGTGTGGCCATCACTAGCAAGATCTAGGCCCATGAAAGATGGCTGAGTGTACCACAAGATGAAGACACCAACAGATGCTAAACCAACATAAGCACCGATCACCTGATTAATCAAAAACAGGCATAGCTCACAATCAAATTGTACAATTCAAAAATATTTGATCTAAGTGAACGCACAAATGTGACAGTTTAACAATCATAGTTAAAGATTTTACTTATTAAAGCTGTTCCACTTTGACAAAAAATGTACTATGATTTATCTCAGAAAAGCAATAATACCAAAAAAATACCATCATAGAATCTGACAGAAACACATTCAAGATAAGCATCCAGCAAGTTCCTCTGCTTATACATCTCTATGAACTCAAGTGATTGGCCCAAATTTAGTAGACCTTATATAACACTTAATACTAAACCGAGTATTTTATTGTTTTGAACACATACTACATTTCTATCATATGCGAGAGAGAATCCTTTTAGTTGTGCACTAAATTCCTAAGAAAAATCAGATAGGTAGCTGTGCACTCGATGAATGAGAAACAGAGCCCACGGAGTGGGGTGCTTATGTGAGTTTTTTGGTTGATTTTGCCGTTGTGCATTGAGCCAGCAGTAAAAAGTTTTGTTAGGTCACTTGATTTCATTAGTTGCAAGAGATATTCTTTTCAATTGAATTCAATAAGTAAGAAGTGAGTTTCAGGGTGCATTATCAAGCTCTTTCTGCTATAGGGCTTTTGGAACAAGTATGAAATACAACACTTGCAAACAAAGAGCTTTAGAGCTTGTGATGTATCACAAGTTTACTCAGACAACTTTAGTTCTGCGGTCTGCAATCAGGTACTATATTGTTAGTTATAACAATATAAAGATAAATCTTTGTGCAAATTTTAACATCTTCAGACAACTACAGAAGGGCTTAAAACATAAAGCATTATACTTACCAGGTAACGGAAGAGAACCCAAGAATTAATAAGAGCAGCATTGCTTTTGCAGGGTGGTTTCTGCATAATATCAACATCAGCAGGGTTAAAACCCAGAGCTGTTGCGGGAGGCCCATCTGTCACCAAATTAACCCAGAGAAGCTGAACTGGTATTAGGCATTCCGGAATGCCAAGTGCAGCAGTCAGAAAAATGGAAATTACTTCCCCCATATTAGATGATATCATATATCTAAACAGAAAGAATCATAAAATGAGCATAGAAGTCACAGTAAGTCAAGAAAACAAAAAATACTCATAAAAAAGGTACCTAATAAAAGATTTCATATTACTGTAGATAGCACGGCCTTCTGCAACAGCTGAGACAATTGTACTGAAATTGTCATCTGCCAGAATCATATCAGCAGCTTGCTTTGCAACCTGAAACAGAAGTAATTTGTAAGACATTTAAGATCAATTATTTTTAGTAACCATAATAGAAAATCCTAAAATTTGGACAAAGAGGAGCTGGAAAGATAATCCTTAGAAAAGATATCTCATGTTTTTGAAGTAAAGAAAGACAATCCAATATCTTACTTCAAGCAAAATAACATAAAAGAGGCATTATTAGCAAGGAATACCTCAAAAGAAAATGTGTTCTAGGAAAGCCAAGTCACAATACCCGTCAAATGAATTCATAAGTTACAAGTTCATATCTGAATTAACCTCTAAGTGAAAACATGAAAATGCCAAGAATTGTCAATTGAGTGATTGATAAACGCATTTATTGCTCTCACAATTCCACTATATTCATAAAGCATGCATGCTCCACTTACTTCTGTTCCTGTTATACCCATAGCAATACCAACATCAGCTAGCTTTAGTGCAGGTGCATCATTGACACCATCTCCAGTCATTGCAACTATCTCACCCATGTCCTTTAGTAGCCGCACAATATCTTGTTTATGTCTTGGCTCAGCCCGTGAAAACACTACACCTCCAGGCTTTGACAAAATTTCCATTTGTTGGTCAGCTGGAAGGGTCATGAACTCTTTACCAGTAAAACTTTTACCTCTGACGCTTGTCTTGTCACTAAATAGTGCAATTTCCTTGCATATTGCCTCTGCAGTGGACTTATTGTCACCAGTTATGACCATAACTTTGATACCAGCACATCTACAATCTTCAATGGCCTTGTGAACTTCATCACGAGGAGGGTCCTACTCAAATTTGCAAGTTCATAGTCATCAGTGCATAAGAAAATATTTACAATTCAGAGAAGCAACACGGAAGAGTATAACAAATTATAAGAAATAACTCAAGGAATTACCCTCAGACCAACCACTCCAACAAAAATTAAATTACTCTCAATTTCAGGGTAGTTAGCAGGATCAAGCAACCTCTTGTGAGCTGGATGAGTTTCTGAATTGTAGTCAGAAAACTCTCCTAAGTCATCCTTAAAAGCAAATCCCAAACATCTTAATCCCTTCGAACTCATTGCCTGGACATTTGACGTTATTAACCATTTAGATGCCTCATCCAGCAAAGCAACTGATCCATCTGAAAGCTGGACATGAGAACTCCTCTCAAAAACACTTTCGAAAGCACCCTGACAATGGAAACAAAATTAATGTACAAGAGAGAGTATCAAATGTGATTAAATATTATCCAGTAAATATAAACTTTTAATTGAAGTTCATTTAGATGTAACAAACAATATCAAGCAGTTTTAGCATAATTATGTATCCTTCAACGAGAACCAACTCATACAGTTGATGATATCTTGAACTGCCAATTTTTTTTAACTAAAGAATTTACTAGATAGTTATTTGACTGAAACATTCTTTTCTTCGTCATATTCTTACACATTCATTTAGTGAAAAGACATTTCTTTGGATTCTATGAGTTAAACCTTTTTCATTTCTAATTTTCTCATGCTTGTATGACACTTTTACAGGAGTTCAGAAACAGAGATGCCTAATGAGTCATGCAACCTCCTCTGTTACTCTGTGATTTACTGAAGAAGTTACCACCTACAGTGGTGCAACACTTACGTCATGGACCTGGCACATTCAAAATGGCGGAGATGAGATTATTAGTAAGTCTTGTCATACTCAAATGTTGAACAATGGATGTGAGACATAAATGCTATTATAATGGTTGTGTATTTTAAATGTACCGATCATGTATTGGAGCCTAAGAAGCATGGACACAGACATGAGACATGGCTAGGACATATGTATTTCTATATATATATATATATATATATATATATATATATATTCGATTAACATGAGTTTTGTAGTACTTGTACTTAAATTTTATAAACTCAATAATGTAAATAAATAAATATCATTATAGGTTAAAACAATTAAGATTATACAAATGTAAGTATCCAAAATAAAGGTTGAGTATACCAAATAGAATTTAACAATCTCTAAATATAATTGATATATATTTCTTTATGGCGATCTCCAGTAGTGATTTAAAAAGCGCTAGGCGCCAAAAGACGCCAAGGTCCAAAAATGCCCAAAACACTAGGCGCTCGCCCGAGCGAAGCGAGGCGCTAAAATATAAAAATATATAATAATTAATAAATATAATTATTTAAAATTTTAAATAAAAATATGCTATTAAATTAAGAAAATCTAAGATACAAAATCATAATATCACATTAACAAAAAGTTTCAAAATTCAAAACAATAAAATTTTATATCAAAGTCATTCATCATAATCAATATTATCGTCATTTTCATATAAATCATCTTAATTGAATTCATCCTCTTCCTCTTCATCAAAATATGTTTCATTCTCTATGTCTTCAACAATAGCAGGAGTCGAGCTTGACACTTTTGCACTCATTTTTCTCTTTGTCATCTGTCTTGTATACGTTTGTAATTCTCCAGCACCTGAAGCTCTTACCACATCTCCCCATGTCAATCTATCATCTTCAAATACAAGCTCGTCTTCAGCATCTTGCAAGTTAGCACTCATTTCTCCTACCAACCACTCATTTGAATCATCAATATCTTGCAATGAGATTGAATCAATTCTATTTTGCAAATCATAACGAGCCTTCAAAGCTTGATTATACTTTATGTAAATAAGATCGTGCAATCGTTGATGTTCCAATCGATTTCTTCTCTTCGAGTGAATCTATCATGTCATATAATTTAAAAATATATTAATACATCTATCTAAAGAAATAAATTAATTAAAACAAAAATATTTAGTGATCCTTACATTCTCAAAAACACTCCAGTTTCACTCACAACCCAAAGCATATATGTCAAACTAAGTACACTTTGATAGCAAATTGTTGTAAGTTCGGGATGGAATTTTCGAATAGACTCCACCATTCAGCTGCAAAATTTATATTATTATTAGCAATAACATAGTAACATAATATATATGAAATTAATTATATCAAATTATTAATACCTGGAGGCGTAGTTGTCTTGGATCGAATGGCAATTGGAATTCTAAAAAACCTTCGGTATTTTTATATAAAGATAATTCACGAATAATCTTATCTTAAACCTCAAGGTTGGGAACTAATTTTGCAACGCACTGACATAACCCATCCAAAACTTCTGCATCAAACCCAACAGATTTAATATTATAAAAGAATTTATGGTTCAAATAATATCCTGCTGCATGTAAAAGACGATGAAGTTGACAATTCCATCTTTCGTCAATGATTATAAAAATTTTCTCATATTTTTCTTTATTTTCATTAAAAGACTTTTTAATCGTCTCCTTTGCTCTATCCATAGCCTCATAAATATATCTCATTACAAGCTTATTTTCATTATCCACCAACCAAAGGACTCGAACAAGAGGACCCATTACTCGAACAAGAGGATGACATTAAGATGATATCAGTAACCCTCTTGCCTTTTGCTTATTTTGCTCATTTTCTTGCCACTCATTTCTCAGAGGTAAACATGTTTCTCAGATTATGTTTTTGACGATACACGCTCTGTAATGTCAAGAATGAAGTAGCAAATCGGGTGACATCATATCTCACTAATTCTTTGTTCCTTGTAAATTCTCTCATCATATTCAAAGCCCCAATATGATTATAAATAAATCCAATAACAAAAATTGCCCTTTCTAGGGTTTTTTTAATGTCTAAGATCTTTCCAATATCCTCCAACATTAAATCAATACAATGTGCTGCACATGGAGTCCAATATAAGTATTGTCTTTTTGTTTCAAGCAATTTACCTAAGACAAAGGATAATAAAAATGATAAGACTTAAGAGTTTAACACATTTAATTAAAGATAAAATAATTAAAAAATTTAAAAGATGAATATTACCATCTAATACATAGTTGCTTCCATTGTCGGCTATGATTTGAATGACATTTTGTTCTTCAATTTCTTCCACGAAGTTGTCAAAGTAAATCATATATCTTGTCTCTAGATTTTACAAAAGATGAAGCATCTATTGACTTCACAAACATAATCCCTAAAGAACAATTAACCATAAAATTAATTATACTCCTGCGCCTCTTGTCAGTCCAAACATTTGACATAATAAAGCAACCATGTGTTGCCCATGATTCTTTACGACCCTTTAGTAAGTCATTTGTATAATTCAACTCTTTTCGCAACAATGGAACTCGCATCTCAAAATAACTTGGAGGTTTTAATCCCGCACCATATCTTCCAATAGCTTCAATCATATCCTTAAAACTATCTAAATGAGTTATACTGAGGGGAAGACCAACCTGATAGAAGAAGCAAGCAATGTGCTGAATTGTTTTTCCTCTTATTTCTTTATCACAAGCATCACTTATATTTGTTTGTCTAAATTTTGAGCCTCTTGCTTCCCCTTATTGCTTCTGAGATCCTTGAAACATATATAGATCCATCGGTCCTTTTTTACCCTTCTTAATACTCATAACTTCTTTTTCTTTTTTGTCATATACTGTTTTCCCACTCGGGTTAATACTCATAGAATAATCTTCTTCTTCAACCCTGAGATGTTCAACATTATCTTCTGGTAAATTTCCATAAGATTCATTCTTTTGTGTCTTCTTTTCATTCATATAACTCAGCAACTCTTCTTTTACCTCAGGTCAGTGATTGAAAGAGGCGCTCGGGCGCTCGCCTAGGCGTTCGGGCGAGGCGAGGCGAGGCCCGAGTGCCTCGCTAATGTCCCAGGCGGCGCCCGCTTCAAACAGGCGCCGCCTGGGCGCTCGCCCGAGCCCAAGCGCTGGGCACTTCGGGCGAGCGCCTAGGTAAACCAAGTGACCGAACCAGGATTTTAGGTCTGGTTCGATCCTGGTTCGGTTGTTAGTTGGTTCAATCGAACCAACTAAACCGATATAACCCTTACCCAACCCTAACCCGCTGCCGCTGCCGCTCCCGATCTCGCTGCTCGTCGCTCCTGCTCCCGCTGCTGCTACTCGTCGCTGTCGCTGCTCGCGCCTCCCGCGAGCCTTCCCACTGCTCGCAACTCCCGCGAGCCCTCCCACTGCTCGCGCCTCCCGCGAGCCCTCTAGCTGCTCACGCCTCCCGCGAGCCTTCCCGCTGCTCGCGACTCCCGCGAGCCCTCCCGCTGCTCACGCCTCCCGTTGCTCGCGCCTCCCGCGAGCCCTCCCGCTGCTCACGCCTCCCTTTGCTCGCGCCTCCCGCTCCCTTTCCCTTTCCCGCTACCGCTGCCGTTGCCGTCGCTCTAACACGGACTTAGCTGGTTTTGCCTAAGTCGTGCGGCACCCTTGCGTGTCCGTCCGCAAAGGTC